GTCATACCCAGGACAGAAAATTTAACATATTTTTATTAATATCATGTTTTCAAAAAAAAAGAAAAAAAATTAAGAGATTCTTTTTGCGCTTATTTGAAATGGTATTTTGTTCCGATCAGAGGCCTTGTTACCGGAAGGGTTGACCTGGTAATAACATTAATTAAGAGGTGGCTCCACGCTCCTCAAAACCTTCAATCTCTCGATCAAAGGCCTTGCTGCAGGAAGGCGGACCTGGGAATAACAGTAATTAAAAGCTTGTTACACTCTCCTATTGTCCTCATCTTTGTTGCCATATATATTACAGAGTTTCGACAGTTGTACGCTCCGACATTTTTCAAGGACACATTGTACAGTGGATAAAGGGGTTAGTGAGATCCAGTGACAGAACCCAAAGAGTATTATGTACACTATTTACATTATTCGGACTACGATCCTCATCTTAGTTGCCATATTTATCACGATGTCTCTGCCCTTCAGTATCTGTCTATATTTCTGAGATGAGGTATCATGTACATTATTTACATTATTCAGATTATTTTAATTCAAATTTGCCATATTTAAACGGGGAACATTCTCCCTGTCACATTTAAAGATATGATGTACATTATTTAATTATTCAAATTGTCCTATCTAAAAATATTTATTCAACGTTTCGGCCCTTCAGTAATCTATAGATGAGATGAGATATTATGTATTTTATTTACATTATTCGAGATTATTTTCCTCATCTTTGATGCCATATTTATTGCAACGTTTTGCCTAACATATCTTTATATTTTGAGATGGATAATATTTTACAATGAACTTTACAATTTCGAAATATTGTCCTTAATTTTTCGCCATAGATTACAATGTTTATGCCTTTTATTATCTGTCTATATTTTAGAATATTATGATATTTACATCATTCGGACTATTGTCCTCATCTTTGTTGCCATATTTATTGCAACGTTTTGGCCTTTCACTATCTGTCTACATTTCTGAGATGAGGTATTATGTACACTATTTACATTATTCTAACTATTGTCCTCATCATTGTTTCCGTATTTATAACAACGTTTCTGACCTTCAGTATCTGTCTATATTTCTGAGATGAGGTATTATGTACACTATTTACATTATTCGAACTATTGTCCTCATCATTGTTGCCGTATTTATAACAACGTTTCTGCCTTTTAGTATCTGTCTATATTTCTGAGATGAGGTATTATGTACACTATTTACATTATTCGGACTATTGCCCTCATCTTTGTTGCCATATTTATTACAACGTTTCGGCACAATGGATAAAGTCGTCAGTTAGATCCAGTCACAGGACCCACATTTGTCCACTGTACCATTTGTCCTTGAGGATATCTGTGCATGAATATCTGGTTATTATAAACCTAATGTCTTCAGCAACCATTTTTTACTAGTGCTCATATTGCAATTTTTGCTGTTATCATCATGTTTTTACCAGTGCTCATATTGCAATTTTTGTTGTTATTATCGTTTTTCCCTGCACTTTTTATTACTGGTTCCCATATTGTATTCATTTCTATGCTTAGTCGGCTCAGGTGATTTTTTGGCTTAGCATATGTGCTGATTCTTTAAGTTTACGAATACCAAAGTGTACATAATACCTCATCTCAGAAATATAGACAGGCACACCCTCAGATGTTTTAAAAATCCGGGAGAAAGTTCCACAAGGGAGAATTACGATAGAAGTAACTGTTGCATCTAGTGACTCCATCTGTAAAATGATGAGACCTAACCGCCAAACTAGTGCTATTATATATAATATAGAACAATATCTAGTAAATTCAAGTTGTCTATCTCGACTATTTTTCGAGATACATATTTGAATGCACAGTGATTCCGAAAATAGCCCATGCAAAATTTAGGAGCTCAAAATACCCATTAAATTTTTCATTGAATGTCATAACCATTATTCAACATGATTCCAACTGGACTTACCAAGTTGTGAAACGGAGAAATAAAAAAGTCAAAATTGCTTCTTCAGGAACGTTTGTCGTTACTCTTGACCTTGTCCATAAATGTTTGATTATTACTAAAAGGTCAGTGGTGTGATCAGTTCAATCTTGTAACATCATAATGTTTTTATCCGTGAGAAATTTGTTTGTTGCACGTCATGTGTGGAAGGTGTTCTGTCATGTTGGATTGTTTCACCATTTGCTAATCAGATAATGGGTGGGGGTCTTAACCAAGTCATGTATGTAAAAAGGGATGAAGAGATTTTACGTAAGAAACAAAAGAAATAGCGAAAGAAAGATGGCGTTAAAGAAAGAAAGAATAAAAGCAGAAACATAAAAGCATTTAAAGAAAGAAAGAGATGGAAGAATAATGGCATTTTAAAGGCGGAAAAAGAAAGAAAGAAAGAATGAAAGTAGGAAAGAAACCCGAAAAATAATAACATTTAAAAAGCGGAAAAAGAAAGAAAGAAAGAAAGAAAGAAAGAAAGAAAGAAAGAAAGAAAGAAAGAAAGAAAACCTGAAAAATAATAACATTTACGAAGCGGAAAAATAAAGAAAGAAAGAAAGAAAGAAAGAAAGAAAGAAAGAAAGAAAGAAATGAACTGAAGAATAATAGCAGTTATAAGAAAGAAAGAAAGAAAGAAAGAAAGAAAGAAAGAAAGAAAGAAAGAAAGAAAGACAGGATGACAGAAGACAAAAGCATGAAAAAAGAGAAAAAACCTGATAAATAATAACATTTAAAAAGCGAAAATAAAAGAAAGGAAGAAAAAGGTAAGAAGAAATTGAAGATCAAGAGCATTTAAAAGCAGAAAGAAAGAAAGAAAGAAAGAAAGAAATGAAGAAATGAAGAAAGAAAGAAACAAACAAACAAACAAAAGAAAGAAAGAAAGAAAAAGAGGAAGACAGAATAAAAAATGTGAAAAAGAGAAAGAACCTGAAAAATAATAACATTTAAAAAGCAGAAAAAGAAAGCAATAAAGAAAGAAAGAAAGAAAGAAAGAAAGAGAGGAATACAAAAGGAAAAAGAATGAAAAAAAAGAAAGAACCTGAAAAATAATAACATTTAAAAAGCGAAAAAAGAAAAAAAGAAAGAAAAAGGCCGGTAGAAATTGAAGAATAAGAGGATTTAAAAGCAGAGAGAAAGAAACAAACAAACAAAAGAAAAAAAGGAAGAAAGAAAGAAAGCAATCACGACAGAAAGGAAGACAGAAAGAAAAAGTGTGAAAACAAAAAGAACCTGGAAAATAATAACATTTAAAAAGCAGAAAAAGAAAGCAATAAAGAAAGAAAGAAAGAAAGAAAGAAGCATGTTAAAGAAAAAGAAAACATGCCAGGAATACTGAAAGAAAGAAATTACATACGATCGAAAGAACGAAAAAAGGAACGAATATCCAACAGATGTGATAACAAAGATAATCTACAAAATGAGATAAGCCGCAGATATCGTCTTTTTAAACGGGAAACAAAAAAAAATAACACAAACTTTGACAGCACTTAAAGTGAAAAAACATATAAATTATACCAGAAATGCCGAGGAGAGAAGGAGAATAGCAAAAAAACAAGAAACAAAAACAATGCAGGAAAGAATATTTACAAAATAAGACTAGAAAACGAATCTAATGAAAAGTGTAATAAAAACGAAGTTCCGAATCGTTCGCCATTTTTACAAAATGGCCGCTTTTCACAAGTCACAGTCGAATTTTGTTTCTTTTTTCTATTTTCGATGCTTGCCTACTTTTTTATAATTCAGTTGACTTCTTACGATTGTTATTGATAAGGAAGGATTGCAAGTTTCCCTCACCCTAAGGGATATGTCATCATTTTAACAGTAAAAGAAAAAAAATGGGTAGGCTAAAAAATATATTCCTCTTTTTTTTATCAGACCCTATTCAAGGTTGCTATTTGCTGATGCTGCCGCGACCTGAGAATATTTTAAAATTTTATGAAAGATATATTTACCGTTAAACACCAGAGAAAAACAGACCTATGCCTTTCCGGTTTTGAGAGGTTTGACTGAGGGCATACTTTTCTCATTGCTCATTCTGATATCATTGATATATATATATATATATATATATATATATATATATATATATATATATATATATATATATATAAACATAAACATATATATATATAGATAGATACATGCATACATACGTACATACATATAAATAGTCTTAGATAGATAGATAGATATGAACAGACTTAAATAAATACGTACATGCATATAAACCGACTAATATATATATGTGTGTGTGTGTGTGAATGTGGAGATAGATAGATAGATAGATAGATAGATAGATAGATAGATAGATAGATAGATAGATAGATATGAAGCATCTTACATAAATATACCTACATAAATATAAACCTAGTGATATATATATATATATATATATATATATATAGAGAGAGAGAGAGAGAGAGAGAGAGAGAGAGAGAGAGATAGAGAGCGAGATGATAGATAGATAGATAGATAGATAGATAGATAGATAGATAGATAGATCGCCATTCAGGTGGTTGGAATTTCGGAAATTCCAACCACCTGAAAAAGGCCGGAACGTATAACGGCCGAAACGTTGTGACAAATATGGCGACAAAGATGAGGACAATAGTCCGACTAATGTAAATACGATAGATAGATAGATAGATAGATAGATAGATATGAACAGACTGAGATAGATATGAACAGACTGAGATAGATAGATAGATAGATATGAACAGACTGAGATAGATAGATAGATAGATAGATAGATAGATAGATAGATAGATAGATAGATAGATATGAACAGTTTAGATAGATATGATAGATAGATAGATATGAAATATGTCTTAGATAGATAGATGGCTAGATACAAATAAAGATATGAACGATATATATAGCCAAATATATATATATATATATATATATATATATATATATATATATATATATATATATATATATATTATATATATATATATATATATATATATATATATATATATATATATATATATATATATATATATATATATATATATTTAGATATAGAGAGATAGAGAGATAGATAGATAGATAGATAGATAGATAGATAGATAGATAGATAGATAGATAGATTTCCTGCTTATCACCTGGCAGGAGTAGGCTAATGTCTGAATTTACGATGGTCGACTGAAAAGTTCAAATAAGGTACAATTCCATTGAATAAGTTTTTGCTTCTTGATTATGTATTATGAATTATAAATTTTTACATGTCCAATTATTTTTTTTAATATATGGCTGAAGTGTCCATCATTTCTATATACTTCAGACCATTACTTTTTTGTTTCTTATCATGTTTTGTTCATTGAACCTCTTTTGTTTCTACTTTCTTGTTTGATTTTGTTCCCTTAGTCTAATGGAAAATCAAACCCTATATCTTCAACTGCAGACAAAAATGACTCTACATCTACAAAACTATTAAACCCGAAAAAACAAAACGAAAAAAATAAAATCCAAGAAATAGAAACATCGAAACATTCTCTAGAGAATTAAAAGATACAAAGAAAAAATGACGGAACGGTTATTGAAGAACCAATGAAAATGGACATAGAGGAAGAAATCTCTAATCCATCACAAGCAAGAGAAAGATCTTCATCTATAGCCTTGAGGGCACATAACTGACTATATGAAAACAAAGACGAGCGAAAATTTAAGATTAAGAAATCAGAAAAGTGATTGCCTACAGAATAAGAATTATAACCAAAATTTCTTCGCCGATTATTTTATTTTATTTTATAAGGAATTAAAGAACATAAAATAAAAACTTACGAGCAATTATTTGCCAATCCAGGTTGTTGGTGAAGAATTAAAACTGATGCGAAGGAAATCTAGAAAATCGGACACAAGGAATAAAGAGAAGAGTATATTGTATTCTTGTAACCAGATGCATCGGAAAATATAATCAACATGAAATGGCCATTAAAAATGGAATTCCTCGGTATATAAAAGTTAATGAGCTGAACAAATACTTTTGATTTATGATTCAATATAAACGGTGATAGATAGATAGATAGATAGATAGATAGATAGATAGATAGATAGATAGATAGATAATATGAATATTTGAGATAGATAGATAGATTTATAGATAGATAGATAGATAGATAGATATGAGCAAACTGAGATAGATAGATAGATAGATAGATAGATAGATAGATAGATAGATAGATAGATAGATGTGAATAGATATATAGCTATGAATAATATCAGATAGATAGATAGATAGATAGATATAGATAGATAGATAGATATGAATAGATATGAACAGATAGATAGATAGATAGATAGATAGATAGATAGATAGATAGATGAATAGATAGATGAATAGATGAGATAGATAGATAGATATAGATAGATGATGAATAGAATAAGATAGATAGATAGGATAGATAGATAGATAGAAGATAGATAGATAGATAGATAGATGATAGAATAGATGAAGATTTTTAGATACCTACATAAATATAAACCTTTATATATATATATATATATATATATATATATATAATATAGAGAGAGAGAGAGAGAGAGAGAGACAGACAACAGACAGAGAGAGAGAGAGAGAGATAGATAGATAGATGAAAAAATAGATTTGATGAATAGACTTTATATAATGAATAGACTCAGATAGATAGATAGATAGATAGATAGATAGATAGATAGATGTAAATAAACTGTAATAGACTGTGATTTATAGCTATGAATACAGTTTGAGTTAATTTTAAAGAAAGTTTACCGTAGATCGCGCTGTGTTGCCTTTTAGACTAGGTTACATTTGTTATTCGTGTACATTTGTAGCTAATCTGTCTTTCATGTTTAATCTGTGTCGCAGTGAGTTAATGAGAAGCGCTCCGTTTAATAATGGCAGGATATTCATGTCGTTGACAGGCAAATATGATTTTTACAAACGGCCGCGGAAAACGGTAATGGACGGAACATTGGCCGGTTGTATCAGATTGCGTTTCCAGACCGGAGGCAGCCAATCTTTTCTGCTGTTTATCGTCGCGTTACTAAGACAGGATCGGTGGCATCACAAACTATGGATTGAAGAAGATCAAAATCTGCTCATACGCCAGGAAGAACACATCCTACATGTTTATATGGACATTTTGCCTTAATCTGGTGTCAGGAATCCACTACTAAAGTCTGGAAATATATATATATATATATATATATATATATATATATATATATATATATATATTTGGTTGGATTGATGTGAGTTTGTGACCCTGGGTTTCACGCTTTTTGTGATCGTCAGACAAAACTGATTAATTTTTTTAAATTTGGGTTTATGTAGATTTCGTGTATTGGTGTTATTATGGGAGTGGGGATGGGAATCGTCGTCGTGATGTCATCGTACTAACGCAAACATAGATGCATTTCCGTACACCTGGTGAGGTACGCAAACACATATACACACTTGCTAGTCAATTGGGGACTCATACAGATATAAACATATGTGGACAGTTTGGGATTTGACATATGTATGTATATGGGTATTTGTTTTTTTTTTTTTTTAAATTAATCAGTTTGTCTGACGATCACAAAACGTGAAACCCAGGGTCACAAACTCACATCAATCCAACCAAATATGTTAGCTCTATATTCTGATATCGAGTATTTTTCTAATAAGTACAACATCATATATATATATATATATATATATATATATATATATATATATATATATATATATATATATTATGAAATGGACAAAGTCCAACAATTATTTTAAGACTTTTTTTATGTTTATACGTTCTTTTTATAGATACAAATATTTTAAGTAAATGCTCTATTTATTATAAACAGTATTAACAACATTTACTGGCCTGAATGTCCGAGAAAATATGCGTCCTCCGACTGGAATCGAACCTGTATCCTATACGGAACCGTCATATCGCCTGATGTGCTTTTTCATCATATTGACTGATATATTTAGGATCGTATTTCTGCGCTCAGATTAAACACAATTTTATAGGAGAATGCCTTTGACACATCGCAATTATACGCGTGCGTTTTACTGTGCATGTGTGTGCATGCCTGGCCATATGTGTGTATGCCAGCGCATATATGTGTATGCCTATACATATGTGTGTATGTTTGTGCATGTGTGGGTATGCCTGCGAATATATGTGTATGACTGTGCATGTGTGTATGCCTAGGCATATATGTGTATGCATGTGCATATATGTGTATGCCTGTACATATGTCTGTTGCATGTGCATATGTGGGTATTCCCATGCATGTGTGTGTATGTCTGCGCCTATGTGTGTATGCCTATGCATATGTGCGTACGTTTGTGCATGTGTGTATGCCTGTGCATATATGTGTATACCTGTGCATATTTGTGTACACCTGAGCATATGTGCACGTCTGCATGTGTGTATCCTTGCACATATGTGTGTGTATGCTTGGAAATACATGTGTATGTCTGTGCATATATGTGTATGCCTGTGCATATGTGTGTATTCCTGCGCATATATGTGTATGACTGTGCATATGTTCATGTCTGTGCATGTGTGCGTGCTTGTACATATTTGTGCCTGTGTATATGTGTGTATGCCTTTGCATGTATGCGTTTGTCTGTGCATGTATGTGCACACCTGTGTATATGTGCATATATGTGCATGTGTGTCTAAACCTATATATGTGTGTATGCTTGTGCATATGTCTATATGCCTGTGCATATGTGTATGACTGTGCAATTATGTATATGCCTTTGCATATGTGCGTATGCCTCTGCATATGTGTATACCTTTGCGTGTTTGTGTATGCCTGTTCGTATGTGTGTATGCCTGTGCATATATGTGTTTGTCTGTACATATGTTTGTATACCTATGTATATATGTATGTCTGTGCATGTGTGTATGCCTGTGCATGTGTGTGTATGCCTGTGCATATGTGTGTATGCTTGCGCATGTATGTATACCTGCCCATATATGTGTATACGTGCGCATGCATGTGTAGGCCTGTGCATATATGCGTATTTGAGCGTGTTTGTGTGTGTTCTTGTATGTGAGCTTGTGCGTGTGTTTCTGTGTGTATGTTTCCGTGTACCACTCTCTGTGTCTCTGTGTATAGGTTTCAACGCGTTTGTTTGTGTGTATTTTGTGTACTCGGCCCTATGAGCGTGTGTACATTTGTGTGTGTATGTGCATTTCTGTGCGCTGTCGTGTGCGCTTTTGTCTCTACGAGTATTCTTACCTGTGTGTGTGTGTGCATGCATGTGTCTATTTACGCGCGTGTGTTGTGAGTGTTTGTGTGTTTAAGGTTGTATGTGTTTATGCGTGTGCATGTACACGTCATCATGTGCTTCCGCGTGCGCATGCGCATCTGTGCGATATTGTGCGCGCGCATTTACGCGCGCATTTTCGTCTTTACGTGTCTGTGTGTGTTTGGTGTGCTGTACACATTATGTCGGCGTGCGTGTTTTTCGGTGTGTGTGTGCGCGCATTTTGGGCGCGCGTTGGTGCGTGCGTTTTGTGCGTGTATTTACGTGAGCCCATGTGTGCGTGTGTGTGTCTGTGTGTGTGTGTGTGTGTGTGTGTGTGTGTGTGTGTGTGTGTGTGTGTGTGTGTGTGTGTGTGGTCATTTTGGTATAATAATAAAAAAGATATTGTCGGACAAATAAAAGAAATTTGGTTAAAAAATTCCGAAACTAATTTGACAAAAAAAAAAAAAAAAACCAAAACCATGACACTCCGTGTTTAAAATAATCTAATTTTTTTTCTTTCTTTAGTTCCTTTTATTCTCGTCTAAATTTTTCCTTGTATCTCTTTTTCTTTTTCTTTTTCTTTTTCTTATTGTTTTCTTCTTCTTTTCTTTTCGTGGTTCGTTTCGATTTCCCGATTCCGCTTTTTATCTGATCGTATTTTGTCGGGCGCCATTGGCTTCCGTTGATTTTAATGAGCAACGAGATTTCCTTGGGGATTTATGGCCGAACGAGTAAAATGGATGAAACGAAATACGAAGCGATAGAAAATAGAAAAAATAAAATAAAATAAGAACAAAAAGAAAAGAAGGAGAGAACGAAGAGGAGAATGAAGGAGAAAATGAAGGAGAAAATGAAGGAGAGAATGGAGGAGTGAATTTTGATCGGGATAAGGAAAGAGAAATAAAAATAAAAGATAGAAGAATTGAAAAAAATAAAAAGAAGCCTAAAAAGAACTCTAGACAAGATAACGTTCTTGCAGCCTTTACAAGGGTTTCTCTTCCTTGTTCTTTAGAACGGGTACCAATTAAAGAGGTTAGTTCATTCCTAAAATATAGGGTTTTTCTTTGAGGTTTATCTTTCGCCAGGTTTACAGTCCTGCTCGGTTTTCTAAACAGGATTAGAGGTGTATCCCTTGTTTTCTGTTTAGGATTGGGTTTCCGGTTCCTTGTAAAGTTCTTTCGTTCCTTTATTTCTCCTAGAAGCGTTGAAGAAAATGGAAGAAAAAGAAAAGCGACTAAAAAAGAAAGAGAACGAGAGAATGATAGAAAAAGACAGCGCTGAAAATGAAGAATAAAAATGAAGAGAAGATAAGAAAAAATAAATGGCAATGATGAAAAAGAAGAAAAGAAGAAAAAGAAAAAGAAGAAGAAGAAGAAGAAGAAAAAGAAGAAGAAGAAGAAGAAGAAAGACGATGCTGAAAATAAAGAATAACAAAAGAGAGAAAAGGAAACAAGAAAAAGTGATGCTGCTAAAGAAAGAAGGCGATAGGAGAAGGAAGGAAGGAAGGAAGGAAGGAGAAGAAGACGAAGAAGGAAGAAGAAAATGAAAAAAACTGATGCTGAAAATAAAGAATAAAAAGAATAGAAATAAAGATAAAAAGAAAAAGAGATGATGTAAAAAAAGAAGAAAAACAAAGAAGAATGAACAAAAAGAAGGAAGAAGGAGAAGAGGAAGACAAAGAAAGAAAGAAAGAAAGAAAGAAAGAAAGAAAGAAAGAAAGAAAGAAAAAGGAGGATGAGGAAGAAGAAGGAAGTAAAAGATGAAGTAGAAGGAAGAAAACGAAGAAGGAAGAAGAAAAAGAAGGCAGAAGAAAAAGAAGAAGAAGAGGAAGGAAGAAAAAGGAGAATGAACATGAAGAAGTTAGAAAGAGAAGAGAAAGACGAAGAAAGAAAAAAGAAAGAAAGAAAGAAAAAGGAGGATGAGGAAGAAGAAGGAGGAAGTAAAAAAAAGAAAACGAAGGAAGAAATAGAAGTAGAAGGAAGAAAACGAAGAAGAAAGAAAAAAGAAAGGAAGAAAACGAAGAAGGAAGAAGAAAAAGAAGAAAGAAGAAGAAAAGAAAGGAAGAAAAAGAAGGAAGAAGGAGAAGAGAAAGAAAAAAGAAAGAAAGAAAGAAAGAAAGAAAGAAAAAGGAGGAGGAGGAAGTAGAAGGAAGTAATAGAAGAAAAAGAAGGAAGAAATAGAAGTAGAAGGAAAAAACGAAGAAAAAAGAAGAATTGGAAATAAATAGGAAAAATGAAAAATATCAAAAAAAGAAAGAGAATAGTAACTTCAAATAATTCGGAAGAGGAAGAAAAGAGAAGAGGGAAAAGAGAGAGAAGAAAAAGAAGGAAGGTCAGAATACAATAATAATGAATAGGGCGAAGGGGATAATGAAGGAAAAGAAGAAAGAAGAAAAATACTATTGAAACAAAGATGGCCAGAGAAGTAGATTATTATTATTATTATTATTTGGAATAGGCGGGAAAGCGAGAGTAAGTTAGGCCGACAATGAAGTAAATAGGAAAAGAAATGGGGACAAACACATTTAAAACAAAGAAGAAGAAGAAGAAGAAGAAGAAGAAGAAAAGAAGAAGAAGAAGAAGAAGAAAAAGAAGAAGAAGAAGAAGAAGAAGCTTCAGTAAATGGGTGACTGGACAATATTTAGAAGAGATAACAAAAAGACAAAAAATATTAAGAGCTACAAAGGAGAGGAAATTATGGAGAGCCTTGATCGTCAATGCCATGAAGAGACACGTCACATAGAAGAAGAAGAAGAAGAAGAAGAGGAGGAGGAGGAGGAAAAAGAAGAAGAAGAAGAAGAAGAGGAGGAGGAAAAAGAAGAAGGAGAGGAAGAAGAGGAAGAGGAAGAGGAAAAAGAAGGAGTGAGAGGAAGAGGAGTTGGACGAGGAGGAAGAGGAAGAAAAAGATGGAGAAGGTAAGAAGACAGTTATTAGGAAGATGACAAGGAAGTTAAGAAGGAAGAAGGAATAATAAAAGAATTGGGTGAAAAATACAATTAAAAAGATACACTTAAAACAAGGAAAAGGTAGAAAAGAAGAAGAAGAAGAAGAAGAAGAAGAAGAAGAAGAAGAAGAAAAACAACAACAACAACAATCAGAAATTGAGAACAAGATGATAAAATATCAGAGAACTGACAAGTGTCGAATATAAAGCTTGTGGGATGTTCTTAATGAGGTCTTGTAGCACCAAAATAACTGGACATTTGAAACGTCAAGATTAATATTGATTAGAATAATGAAAAGGGGGCAGGTTGCGTCTTAATCTACAGTTAAAGCCACTTTTTTTTTTAAAATGCCATTTTCTTATAAAACAGGGGCGATCAGGGCTCTCCACGGCCTCCGTTTCTTTATTATTTTTAAATTTCTATGGCGTCTTTGCAAAGACAGTGAAATGATTTTGAAAAAACTTATCAAAAATTTTGTGTTGTGGATTTCCCTCTTATAGTATATGAACGCTTCCTCCTCTCATAAATACAAATCATGAGAGTCGGACGAGAGCGCAGAGTGTGAAGTGGAGTATTTAGTAGTCGTAGTGCCTAATCTACTTATTACTAACACTATTGTTTTGTATATATCTTCCATTTTTTTTTTTCAATCTACCTTCGTCTTCCTGTGTCTTTCTTTCTTGGAAAACAGCCAACAACAGATATAAAATAAATAGATTTATAAATCTTACATCAAAACTTTATTGAAAATGTTCAACAGATGCTTCGTCTGTATCTCTGTAAATTTCAAATCTATCCTTAGCGTTGCGAAACCCATTTTTCACCATTACACTTGTCTCCTGCACTTCTAAATGAATGTTTTGATTACGCTCAGCTAAAATTGATCTTTTGGCAATAAACCTTTGTTTTTATGAAACCCCAAAAAAGAAATATCAGTTGGAAAAGAAGAAGATCTCACCTTTGTGTATACATTATATTAATAATGAATACACAAGGATGTATCTTTGTTACACCCCAAAGTTATAAAAAAAGGAATTAAAATATAATCAGAAAAGAAAAGCAACAATAAACTACAGAAGAACACAAAATTGATCGCTGCATTTAAGTATTGCATTTATAATTAAGCAAATTGAAAAAAATTTTCATTATTTAATTATGATATTGTTGTGGTAAACCCTCCTACAGTAGAATGAACTCTTCCTTCTCTCATAAATGCAAACTGCGAGAGTCGGACGGGAGCGCAGAGTAGTAGTCGTAGTGCTAATCTATTTATTTCTAAAACTATTGTTTTGTATATATCTTCAATATACTTTTTCAATTCTCCCTTCGTCTTCCGTGTCTTTCTTTCTGGCTCCTAAACAGTCCAAAGTTTTTTTTTCTTTCTCCTACACTGGCATCCTCCAAGTTTAGACAGCACAGTCTACATTGCTATTTAACCCATAGCTGCAAGAAAGGAGAATTAGATTCATATCTTTAGAAAAGGCGTTTTCTTCGAATTTAACCACAATAGATTAGTTAGGAATTTGAATTCTGCACCTTTATTCCATAGAGAACTATTTCGCTAACCACACATCCTGCTGGTGTGAAAACTTGATGTGAAAAATTAATACTAAGGAATACTGAGGAGGGTTCACCTATCGCCCTGCTCAAGATCCTTCTTTGTTTTTTGTTTGTTTTTTTTTTTGTTTTTTTTAACAGGATTAGAGGGTTATCTCTTGTTTCCTGTTTAGGATTGGGTTTCTGATTCCTGCTAGTTTAGTCTCGCATATACATTTCCCCTATTATGAACATTATTTTATCCATGATATAACACCGTATTTCACGGCCGGAACAAAATGGCTTAAAGGAAAAGCAAGCAGAGTGAAATGAGAACGAAAAGATAGGGTGTTGCATATAATGTGGAGATTCTTCTGTGTTTCTCTAAGAATCCATGTTTAGGAAGAGAATGGTTGAAAGGAAAAGCAATTTCAAACTTGCTTTTTTTTCTCAGACATTAAACCACTAAGACATATACAAAACTATATATATATATAACCCGTGTCCCAGTTGTAGATAAATATAATATATATTATATATATATATATATATATATATATATATATATATATATATATATATATATATATATATAAAAGTGAAAGGAGAACGAAAAGATAGGGTCTTGCATATAATATAGAGATTATTCTGTGTTTCTCTGAGTAGCCATGTTTAGGAAGAGAATGGCTGAAAGGAACAGAATGGCTGAATATAATGTGGAGATTCTTCTGTGTTCCCCTGAGAAGCCATGTTTAGGACAGATTAAAACGGGCCGAATTCCTCTACTATGTCCCAGTTGAGGACATATTTCACGAACTGGAAACGGCTACTCTTGGGTTTTACCAAATTGAGAACTGCGAGCGGGAGATTCTTTTTATATCTATGGAAAATATATTCCCAAAGGGAAGCCATTGGTTTTGTAAGCTGCTGGGGGAGGCTGATTTAGCAACCACTCGGTTAGGCAACGACTGGAACCAAAGTGAGTTCAATGTGTGTGTGTGTGTGTAATAAACGAGAACTTTTTCGAATTTTTTCAACAAAATTTACATGTACATGCTCCAAGTTAGCGGGAAGGCCAAGACCGACTTTGCATTTCCCAACTCTCATCCATAGTGGAAATAATCGATTTTTTTCATGCTTCTACGGCAGTTTTCATGTAGTTTGCGGCCATTTTCTATTGGCCAGAGTGAGAGCCAATAACTGGCTGCCACGAATAGCCAGGAAAATTCTATTGGCCAACGTGAGAATCAACAGCTGACTGACACGAATGTTAATTAGCATGCTAGCATGCAAAAAAAAAATCGATAGCTGCATTCGTCACAAGTGGAAAAAATTTAAATCTGCATAGCAATTTACTCCAATTGGCTCATTTGCTTTCTTAAACTGAACGTTGATTCTGATTCCGCAGAACTGGGTTGGGTGTGAAAAAGTATTTGTTGTTAACATTCTTTTTTCATTCGGTTTTTCCAGTTACGAGTCCTTTTTTTAAAGCTGATCGTTTTGTGTTCATTTTGTTTAGTTCTTTTTTCGTAACAGATTTAATGTTTAGTATAGAGCTTAGAAAAAATTCGCAGTGTGAGATAGGCAAGAAGTAAGGCATGTAGCAACATCAGCACGGCAAAGGGCACTCCTTTTAAAGGCAAGGAAGGGCAAAAAAATATTTTAAGTCAAGTGATAGCGATTGCTGTATGAGTCGTACGATTTTTGAATCAAGCACGGGCAACGCCGGGCCATGCTGCTAGTATTCATCTAAACTGTGAAAATTTTGGAATTTTTCTTAATCAGTTTTCTACAGCCACTAAGAAATTAATCTACGGAGCTACTGTATACGTATACACATATATTTTAACCACATGGATATGGTGTCAAATGAGATTGAAAGTAGTTGGGAAAATAAAAATTATCTAAAAGAAAATATTAGTATTTTTCTTAATCAATTTTCTCCACCCACCAAGAAATTAATTCGTGGACTTGAAAAGATTAAATCTAAAATAAATAGATATAATACGTCTAAATTATTTAACCAAACCTGCTTAAATGAATACCAATGATTTAAAATCAGTCGCCATTTTCTTACCAAAAAAAAATGTGTTGCACGCGTCAAGCACGGGCAACGTCAGGCCATGCTGCTAGTTTAATATGAAGGTCTGAGTTTCTGTTAGCGTTTGATTCCGGAAGGGGAAATCAGGGCTTGGTCTGCCCTGATCGGAGTCGTCTTGGCGATGGGGTGTATGATGTTGAAAGATCCGAAACTCCCTGATGGACGAAGTCAATTTACATCATTGCCGACTACCTCCAGCGCCCTATTTAAGAACATATATTTTTTTTAAAAATTACTTATATTTTGGTTTCAAGAAGTAAGCCAGAAAATACACCTAATTGTGTCCTTCATCATGGCATCAGTAGTTTGACTCTTGTTTCTGTTTTATTATTGTGTTTACATTTTGCGTTAATTCTTACTTTAACATTGAATTTTTTATTAAATTTATTTTATTTTTTCTCTTTTAAAGGAAATTGAAATAGTTTTTTGTTTTGTTCTTTAATTATATTTTGGTTGGAATCCGTTTCCGTTTTTCCTATTTCAACAGAAAAAATATCTTTCATGTGCTTAGAAAAAAAACTTGATAAAGGAAACGAAATCCATCATGGCCGACAAAAGAATCTTTTTGAGACGACCTCGAAGGATATCCCTCCCAACAAAAAAAAATTCAACGTCCTCGGTAATTCAATTCAATAAGAATGATGGCCGAGAATATATGGTGGCCCAAAATGGCCAAAATGAAAATGTCAGGAAAATAGGGTGGCCAATAATGGCCTAAATAAGAAAAACGAAAACAAACGTATGTTTGCACAAAATACACAAAATCAAAATGACGTCAGAAAAATATGGTATCCAATGATGGCCTAAATAAGAAAAACGAATACAAAATGAGGGTGTCCAAAATAGTAAAATCAAAAATAACGTCAGGAAAAATACGGTGCCCAGAAGGGCCATAACAAGAAAAACAAAAATAAATGTATGGTGGCACAAAATGACTAAAATCAAAATAACGTCAGGAAAATATAATGGCTAATAATGGCCTAAATAAGGAAAACGAAAACAAAATTAAGGTGACCCAAAATGGCAAGATCAAAAATGGCGCCAGGAAAAATATGGTTCCCATAAGGGCCAAAATAAGAAAAACGAAAACAAAAGTATGGTGGCACAAAATGGCTAAAATCAAATTAACATCTGGAAAATATAGTGACCAATAATGAACAAAATAAGACTGTCGAACAGTTGAAACTATTGGCCACAAAAAGGTTACCAGGGAAAGATAATGACTAGCAACTTGGGGATCGCTCTATGGCTGTAAATAGCCGACATATTGTGTAATCAACATCATGGAGTTTTTTGGAGAGTCGTAATGACGCACATATCAAAGATGAACCTTTGTTGAATTTACAAGAAATAGAGAAGTTTGAAAAATCAATTGTTCTAGTCTTCGTAGTGAACAAGAGTTCGCGAAACCTTACCGGAAAAAAAGACCCAATTCCAGTCATGAAATGGCAATACAGAATGTCATGGTGGTATGATAGTATGCTTAGGATTTACTCTGGGAATTTACTCTCTGAAACCATTGTGTTGTGTTTGGCGTACGAAAGATTGTAGTATCGTCATGTTGGAACTTTCAGTTGGCACTCGCAATATGATTGGCATGATGAAGCAAGACCCAGAATGAAAGATCTGTCAAAAATAAGAAGAGTTCTGATGAAAGACATCAGTATTTTGCGAAGTGGTTCGAGAGTTCTACTGAAAGAATTCAACCAACAATAGATGCTTAAGACCAAGGCATGCACCATATCTTTAAAATGTTTTCAGTTGATGCTTTTGATTATTAAAATTTAGCGACCGATACATCTATGGGTTATTTAATACCGAAATCTAAATATTTTGAACACAATTTTATGGCTTTTCAATATAAAATATATTTGAACGCAATTGTATGCCTTCAAATACATATAATTTGTATTGTTTCATTTTGTTTAGCGGCATATCAACATCTCTATGGGTTATTTAATACCGAAATCTAAATATTTTGAAGAGAATTTTATATTCAATAAATATTTTTTTGTTTTGCAATGAATATTTTAAACTACATATATGTATTGTTAGTCATTTTGTTTAGAGGCATATCAACATCTCTTTTATTTATTTAATAACGAAATCTAAATACAAAACACATTGTTATGGGTTCAGCTAAATATATTTTGAACGCATTTGTATGCCTTCAAATAAATATATATGTATAGTGGTATTTTGTTTTTGGCATATCAACATCTCTATGGGTTATTTAATACCGAAATCTAAATATTTTGAACAGAATTTTATTATTCAATCTAAAATATTTTTGATTAAAAAATGCCTTCATGTACATATATAAAATTGTTTTTCA